CCACCATGCTCCTTGTCCAATGCCACTTCACCCTCATGTGCTTTGTCAGGCCGTGCAACACGGGGTTCTTGGCAAGAGAAATGGCTCCCTGGCTGTCACAATAGAGAGGAGTAGTTCCTTGCTGCTCCTCCCCCAATTCAGCCAACAAACGCCGCTGCCACACAATCTCCCGTACGGCACGGAAGAGTGCCATGTACTCGGACTCCACCGAGCTCAAAGCTTGGTCAACCTGCTTCTTGCTCTCCCAAGCAGTTGGGCCTTCACCAACACAGCATATGAAGCCTCCCACACTTGTCATGTCCTCTGGTTCCGATGCATATGAAGCATCCGAGTAGGCGGTGAGGAACAAACGCCCGGGTTCAACACCATCCGCGCCCTTTTGGCGCCTTTGTGCCGCCGCCGAGTATTGCAGCCCAACGGTCGGTGTTTGGCCAAGATACTTGGCCACCCTCATTCCAGCTGCTACCTGCTCCTCATTAGGGCATTGCACAACCCTAGCCAGCTGCCCGGTAGCAAACGCGACGTCCGGTCGGGTGTTTACCGCCGCATACATGAAGCTGCCCACCAACGAGTGAAAACGGCGCCTCTCCTCTTCTCCAACGCTCTCCTCCTCGGGCCCCTTCACACACTTGAACCCAGAGGGAAAGGGAGTAGCCACATGACCTTCACTCTGGCCAGAGTTGGCAGCCAACGCCTCCAGGTACTTCCGTTGGTACACTCGCATGCTCCGCTTCTCCACGTCTCGTTCGATGTGGAGGCCAAGGTAGAAGTTCACGTCACCAAGGGACTTGCACTTGAACTTGTCTTGCAGCTTCAGCATCACCTCCTTCACAAGGTCAGAGGAGGGTGAGAAGATCAGGATGTCGTCCACGTACACCACCATGAAGCTCCTCTGCTCCCCCTCGCCAAGCATGAACAGGGAGTGATCGGCCGTTGAGGGAGTGAAGCCGATCTCCTCCAACACTTCGCGCAGCTTCATGTACCATTGCCTAGGGGCCTGCTTCAGCCCGTAGAGGGCCTTCTTCAGCTTCCACACTCTGCCACTACCGTCGTCAAACCCCTCTGGCTGCGCCATGAAAATCTCCTCCTCAAGGATTCCGTTGAGGAACGCCGTTACGATGTCTAGCTGCTTCACCACCCAACCTTTGATGGCGGCTCCCGCGAATAGGGTTCGCAGCGTCGTCGGCTTCACCACTGGAGCAAACAGCTCCTTGAAGTCCACCTTCTCCTTTTGCTGGTACCCCTTGGCTACCAGCCTAGACTTGTAACGCTCGATCTTGCCGTCGGCGTCGGACTTGATCTTGAAGAGCCACTTGGACGTAATCACCTTACGCCCCTCCGGTAGCTCCACCAATTCAAACGTATCATTCTCCTCGATGCTCTTCAGCTCACTCTCCTTAGCGCGGCCGTTCGCGCCATCGCCGCTACCAACCGCTTCACCCTTGGTGCTGACGCTTGCTGCCACTTGCCTCTCCTTAGGCATGGGGACCACAGGGATCTGCCACATCTCGTTGTAGACGTCCCTATCCTCGTGAAGGTCCCATAGAATCCGCTCGCCAAGCCTCGCGGTGTAGGTCTTGGCTCCCTTCGAGTTCGTGTCCATGCCGCCCTTTGCCAACCGCCGCACGGAAATCAGGTTCGCAGCAAGGCTGGGCACCCAAAGCACGTTCTTGAGGCCCACCATCTTCCCATCAGCACCCTTGAACATGGCCTTGCCCATGCCTTTCACCTCCGCTCGCTGCCCCAAAGCCGATGTGACATGCTTCACCGGTGACGGTTCGAGTTCGGTGAGCAAGTCCGGGCGAGGTGTCATGCTATAGGTTGCGCCACTATCGATCACCCAATAGTCCAGGGGTTGTAGGGTCACCTTTCCCACTGCTGCTGGCTCCTCAAAGCCTTCATCCTTCTCTAGACCAGCTGGTACTTGCGTCGACACGAAGTAGAATAAACCCGGGTACCGATCGTCGCTCGGGTCCTTGTCGTTGTCTCCGCTCTTCATGTTTGCAGCTCCGCCACCGCGACCGCCACGGCCTCTGCGGCCTCTTCCTCTCCCTCCACCTGCTCCTCTACCCTCTTGGTCTTGAGCAGGGGTCCAACCATCAGGGAGCTTGTAGCAATCGCGCCACATGTGTCCGGTCTTATGACAATAATGGCACTCGCCATCGAATCGGCCACGACCGCGCCCGTAGCTCTTGTCGTCACTGCCGTATCCGCCACTCCCGCGGCCTCCGCCGAAGTTGCTGCCACCAAACCTTCCTCCCCCTCGTCCTCTGCCTCTTCCTCGGCCATATCAACGGCCGACGCTTGCTGCCCCAGCGCCATCCGCACTCGCCAACTCACGGCGGCGGAAGTCCTCTTGTAGGATCGCTCGCTTCACGTCTTCAAGCGAGAGGCGGGGCAAGTCGCGATTCAAATTGATGATGAGCGAGGACCACGACTCGGGGAGTAGGGCCAGCAACTTGGTCTTCTTCTGGAGCTCACTGTAGTTCAAGTCAGCTCCCTCAAGCCGCGTCAACAAGTCAAAGAATTTCTGCACCCCGTCTTCCACGGGTTCATCTTCCTCAATTCGTAGCGTCGCCATTTGCCTTTCCAACACCACAGCTACCGCCGCTGTTGCAGGAGCGTGTACACCCTTGAGAGCAGCCCATGCCTTTGGTCCCTTCTCTGGTTCATGCTGGAAAGGCTTGATGTGACGGATCTGGTTGCTCCCCAACGCTTGCCCAAGTAGGAGATAGCCTTGTGCGCTCTTCCGCACCCACGGGCTCCTCTCCGGGTCGTTCTCGGGACGCTTCTCCGTTCCTTCCATCACCTCCAGCAGATCATAGTGATCAAATACATTCTCCATTCTGAAGGACCATTCAGCAAAGTTTTCGCCGTTGAACTTGTCAAGCCCGAACACTCTTGGTTCGTCCCTAGAAGGTCCAAGAGTCGGTTGCACGGGCGCCACGGCTGACTCACGGGCTTGGCCTTGTGCTTGGGCATCTCCATTGCCACCAGCACCTCTGCCACCCCTTTCTTCAGGTCCAGCCATAGTCGTAGCTGCTCCAAGGGGCTCTGATACCACTTGTTATAGTTACAGTAGGCTTCAATGTGCCTAAACCGAGAGATAGAGTGCACAGTCGGATTTCTGTACAGCGGCTTCAAACGTTCATAGCGATCTGGTCACAGCTCCAAACGACATCATTAAACTTGGATCTGGAGCGTCTTAACGTCGCCTACAATAGGCAATTTAGATCGCACGACTTCATCAAGAATTGACGACACAGCGTCAGATTGAACGAACGGCACTATGGCAGCAACATAGTCTAAGAACACAAGATAGGAAGAGTTGGGAAGAGTTGCGAGTTGGGAATGACTCCCAGCTCCTAAAAACCCCAAGAGCCGAGGTACAGTGATGTGGAACAGTGCCACACTGTCCCCAACCAAGAAGGGTCTCGAACCTACCCTTCATAAGGGTCTACACCAATAGAAATGTTACACTACACATTGTAATGTAACCATCTTCAATATCTTGAAGTGCACCCTTTTGGCGAGCTTCGAAATCACTTGAAGCTTGAAACCAAGGCTCGGGTTCTTCATCACAAACTCATCCTTGAGTTCTTGATGGGTCTGCTGTGCACACCTGCGACACGCCGAACGTTCGACAAGCGACAAAATAGAAACCGCGCACGACAAAATAGAAACCGCGCGGGACACACAAAATGACCGCGTTACACGCGACTAGCGATAACTCGCTACTGACTTGACACACACACTCGATATCATGACCCATCATTCACACACCATTATAAGCATGAAAGATATATTTATCCCATGCACTCATACCACTCCATGCACACACGCATGCACACACACGCACACGGACAACAAGCCGAGTGCAAACCGTAGGGTTGCACCAACAAAGACGCAGCTACCTCACCTGACCCAGCTACTGGACCTGACTCAGCCACCTGTGCAAACTTAGTGGTCAGTGTGTACCGTCATCACCCGGATAGAAGACAGTGTTGAATAGTAGACAGGGGTTGTCTATTATACGGGTGTCCCTTATAAACAGGCTAGCCTCATTGTAAGACACCTATTTGTGTGTACGAGATAAGACATATAAATGAAACTGCAATATATTATAGTGAAAATTGAAGTACCGCGTACATTTTTACCCTTGCGACACGCGAATTCTGCCACGTGCTGACTCACGTACTAGCAAATTTGCCTCTGCAAGTATTCTCCATGACGTGGCGCCCCGAACAATGGTTGCCGAAGTGGCACCTTCGCAACATCCACACTCATAATGAGAAACTCTTTTCAAGATGTGTGAAAATATTTTGAAGTAGTTTAAAAAAGTTTCCATTTATAAGACTTATAAGACACCCAAAACCTCCCCAAATACAAGATAACCCAAGCAGTTTTTTTAGTGTATGAGAAAAGACATATATGTCTTCTATCCGGGCGATGACGGTACAAGCCAGACCCGGGCCTCCGAGTGAACGTGGAGAGGTGCTCGCCAATGCGTGAGTCCGTACAGATCGCCACGAGCTCTCTCCCACACAATGTGACGTCGGCCCACACTTTCAACGACGCTGCAGTTAGGCACTATTCCTCACTCTCTCCTACCACTCGGCCACTGAGTGTCGAGATGATTTCTGTACCCCGTAAAGCTAGCATGTTTTGACAAATCTCTGGACACATAGTTCTTGAGACGAGATTATAATCGAATCGAAACATGTTTTTCTTTATAAAAACACCATTTAAAAGGTGCAATATAATAACGGAATTCTTAGTGTCATCGTGTAACCCAATAGCGGAAAACTATGCGCTCGCAGTAATGGAAACGCACTGTCATCATGTAACCCAATTGCAGGTAGCTTATGGCGTCTTACCTCATGCTAATCCCCAATGAAATATGAAATGGCAGGGCTCTAACCGGGGGACAAAGTAGTCATGTGCTCTAAGGGCCTACATCCCCTTCTTGTCTTGGTGGCAATGTGCATATAGGCGACGGCTCAGTAACCCCAAGAGAACCCCAGTGACTGCCAGCTCTTGATACCATTGGAACTTGAGCCCAGTGACAGCCAGCTCCCGACAGCAGAATCTGTCGTGGCAGATGACTCCTCTCTGGCGCTTACACTCTCTTCTCTACTACGCTCCCACTCTTCCTCCTTGTCAGGGCAGTGCTTGTCAATGAGGGCACGGAGGCGGTATGCCACATCCTTCATGTCAGGGCGGCGTGTGCCGGGCGCCTTCATGCAGTCCAGCGCCAGGTCAGCAAAGTCCACCACGGCCTCGTCACTGGCCTGCAGCTTGCTGTCCTTGAGCTCGTCCAACTCATATGCATCCACCCTCTGCTGCGCCTGCACCACAGAGAACAGCCGGTGCACAGCAGCATAATAAATACTAATCAGGCGCGAGGTGGTGAAGTAAAAAGAAAAGGAGCAAGGTGGCATCGTATAGAGCAAAAGGTGCAAGGTAGCATGATATGGAGGAAAGGCGTGCAAGGGGCAGTGCCACGATTCATTCTGGCATGGACGTACCCAGATCTTCATATGTGTTCCACGGTGAGACATGGGTGGCCTTCCACTCAGCAACTCCAGGAGCACAATGCCGAAGCTGCAAGCAGGCACACATGGGGACATGGAAACGGCTGGAGAAATCAATGACCAGCAACAGTGTGTTTGTGCATTAGCAACTATTTACCCGTCCTTCTGGCCAGAGAGAGAGTGAGAGTGAGAGAGAGAGAGAGAGAGAGAGAGAGAGAGAGAGAGAGAGAGAGAGAGAGAGAAGGCATGTTAAAGGCATCAGTGTTCCAGTATGTCGTGAGATGCCAGATCGCCATCCATGCTTACCTGTAGACATCGCTCTTGGCCGTGATGACGCCAGTGCGGTTGTAGTCAGGGTCCACATAGCCGGGTGTGCCCGCCACTCTGGTGGCATGAGCATCGCCGTGAGTGAGCTGCTTGAGCAGCCCAAAATCGGCGACCTTGGCGTGCATGTCGGCTGAGACCATGATGTTGGCGGGCTTGATGTCGCGGTGGATGATGGGCGTCGCGAACCCATGCAGGTACGCCAGGCCCTCCGCTGCTCCTTGCGCCAGGCGCAGCCTTTGGCGCAGCGAGAGAGGGTCTGGAAGCGAGAGCACGACAAGCACGCACGAAGCGAGGTTCTGGAAGTGTGTTTGTGCATAGCAACTTTTGACATTCTCTGCTAAAGTACATGGTGCGAGGGCAACTGACGCTTGGTCTTGTAGATGTGGTGGTGCAGGTCTCGGTTGGCCACGAACTCGTACACGAGGATCTGCTCCTGCTTGCCCGTCTCCACGTTCTGGTCCTGGCAGAAGCCCAGCAGGCGCACCAGGTTCACATGGTGCAGCGATGCCATGGCGCGCACCTGCATGCGCCGCACAGCACAGTCGTTGGGGAAGGGAGAAGGCAATATGCCAGTTGCAGGGCTTAACAATGAACCCATTGCCTCGGTACGGTGCTGTGGCTGAAAGGCGGGAGATGAGCAATGGTGTAGAGGCAGCAAGGCAGAGGCTGACCTCGGTCTCAAAGTCGTTGGTCATGACAGTGGAGCGCTTCACTGCCCACGGCAGCCCCTGCGTCGAGCACCCCTTGTACACGGTGCCAAACCCGCCCTTCCCCAGCACGTTCTCAGGCGCCCAGTTGTCCGTGGCCTTCACCAGCTGCTGCAGTGTGAACTGCTCGCACAGGTCCAGCCCCTCCCACTTCCCTGTGCCCCAACAGAGCACGGTGAGGTGGGGTGAACGGAGGGAGACCATGCAGCAATGCACATTCAGCGAGGGTTTGAGCGAGTGGGAAGAGCAGGGGTGCAGAGGTGGGGGCGGCAGGGAGGTTGCGCTGTAGTGCAGGCATGGTGGCAGGGGGGAGGTGCAGGGAAGACATGGTAGCATTGTTGGGGTTCTTACTTTGTCCACGGGGCCACAGTAGCCAGGCGAGCACAGCAGTGAGCAGAGTGAACCCGGCAAAGCACCCCACAGCAATGACCACGATTGCACCTGCTGACAGCGACGACACTGCCAAGGGGGGAGCAGGGGGGGTGGGAGAAAGAGGGGGGGAGTGGAGGTGATGGAGGTGGACATGCGGTATGGGAAGGAAGGGCAGCAGAGGGAGATGTGAGCACAGGATGGTGAGCTGTGTTTTGTGAGGGTGCCTCACCAGCAGTGGTGGTGGAGTTGAGGATGGCGCAGGTGGAGCCGTTGCCCAGGTCCACGGAGGAGTACCCGGCATCGCACATGCATGTGAAGTTGGCCTGGGCGGCCGGTGCAGGCGGCACGCACGCCCCATGGCCGTCACACGGGCCGTTGTCAGTGATGCTGCAGAACGCCTGGCAGGCTGCCGTGCTGCGCTGAGTGGCGTTGGACGGGCACTTCACATCCCGTTTGAGGGTCAGACAGTTGCCTGCGAGACTCCCCCTGGCGCCCTTGCCTGCCCCCGCCACCGAGTAGTCACGCTGACCATTCAAGCCGGCGTCGCTGCACTTCCCTGCCACCCCCACGCTGCTGTCCCTGAGCTGCAGCTGGTTGCGCTGGGAGATCTCCTCGGGGCACACCCGGCAGCTCGCGGCAAAGAGCACGGCGTCGCCATAGAAGAAGTTGTGTGCGAGGTTGATGAGCGCGTCGCCGTCCGCCACCATGCTGTTGAAGTCGTGGTTGATGCGCCCGTACAGGCTGTTGTTGCTCACATCGCTGCAGGGAACCGGGGGGAGGGGGGGGGGGGAACAGAGGTTGGTGCTTGGTCTGTGATCCGTGAGCCAAGTTGATGAGCGCCTCACCGCCCGCCACCATGCTGTTGATGTCGCACCTCACGTGCCCGTACAGGCTGTTGCGGCTCACGCCGCTGCAGGGGGGGAGAAGGGCACATGACAGACTCGAGGGCTAGAAAGAAAGGCTTGCTAGAGCGATGACTTGATGGTCAGCAGCACGTACATTCAACGCATGGCTCTCACCACTCTTTGCACCTGTCCGCACTGACAGCAGTGAGCAGCATACCTCGCAGCACTCTTTGGTAGTGGGGATGGATGAAGTAAGCAGGTGGGCTCACATCTGGTTGACGCATTTGTCGAAGAGGCAGTCTGGCAGAGGCCCGTAGAGATGGTTGTTGCTCACCATGCTGCCAGCACAACCCATGCCATGCCATGCCATGCCATGCCACGCACCACCACCACAAGTCCCACCATACGGAGCCGCATAGAACAAAAGAGAGACAAGGCAAGAAGACAAGATGAGCTAAGATAAGCAGGATAAGTAGATACACGAATATCTGTGGCACAGACTTGCGCCAGGGTATGTCATGATATGATTGTTTCTGGCGAACTGTCTATTTGCCTTGCGCGGCAGTCTTGCTAAGTGCACGCGTCACCTCACCTCACATACATGCACACAATTCGAGCAGGAATATTACTGCTTGCAAAGTTCTCGCTCTTGTCAACAGTACCAAGCCTTGCCTCCCTTGAGCTTCTCCTCTTCCATCACAGCTGCAGCTCGCAACAGCTGCTTCTGGTAAGGTTCGGGCACACCAGGGGTGCCTCATTCAACCGGGACGGGCTTGTTTGCACCGGGACGACCACAATTCCAGCACACCCTCCACACCCGTGCCTGTGCACTGCTCACAGCTTGCATCCATCCAAATGCCTAAACATCTCCTTGTCACTCCAAGCAACATATGCCAACCACTCACATGCGCCACAGCCACTCACATGCGCCACAGCCACTCACATGCGCCACAGCCACTCACATGCGCCACAGCCACTCACATGCGCCACAGCCACTCACATGCGCCACAGCCACTCACATGCGCCACAGCCACTCACATGCGCCACAGCCACTCACATGCGCCACAGCCACTCACATGCGCCACAGCCACTCACATGCGCCACAGCCACTCACATGCGCCACAGCCACTCACATGCGCCACAGCCACTCATATGCGCCACAGCCACTCACATGCGCCACAGCCACTCACATGCGCCACAGCCACTCACATGCGCCACAGCCAGGGCAGCGAGCAGATGGCGGATGGCAGAGGGCCCTCGATGCTGTTGTTGTCCAGCCAGCTGCGGGGGGCAGGCGGGGGCAGAAGCAGGGGTAGAAGCAGGGGTAAAAAACAGGGGAGAAGCAGGGGAAAAAAACAGGGGCAGAAGCAGGGGCAGAAGCTGGGGCAGTAGCAGGGGAAAAGCAGGGGCAGAAGCAAGGGCAGTAGCAGGGGAAAATCAGGGGCAGAAGCAGGGGCATGAGAGCAGCAGAGTGCAGTGGGGCTCGGCAGAAGGCACACAACATGGGTGGGTTCGGCAGGGCGGACCGCTTGGCACGCAGAAGGAGGAAAGAGATCCAGAAAACATGTGAACCGCTCAACCCGACGCAGGAGGGTGCAGATGGGGGGAGCGGGGGACAAGGACCGCTTCAGAGAAATTGCAAGCTAGAAAAAGAACCCCGAGACTGATAAAACGTCAAGCTGCCCCGCGCCCTTGCCCCAATGGCTCACTTCGCTGCCATGCACATCCCCTTGCCTCCCCTGCTGCTCAACACGCTCCCCCTCACTGCTTGAGTGGGCAGTAAGTGAGGGCAGGCAGGGAGCGCAGCCAGGGGGGGCAGGCAGGAAGGGCCCTCACATCTGTTGGAGCTTCTCCAGGCGACTGATGGCAGACGGCAGACTGCCGCTGAGACGGTTGTTGGCCAGATAGCTGGAGAGCATGGAGGGGCGCATGGAAGGGAGCATGGAGGGGAGCATGGAGGGGCGTATAGAGAGGAGAATGGAAGCAACAGCTGCGAGCAAGAGCAGCATATGGGAGAGCAGCGCATGTTGACACAGGAAAGCAGCGTCGCCATAGTAGAAGGGAAGTGAGGTGCAAAGGTTCGTTCTACAACCCACAATCCATCACCACATGGGCAGTTAAGACTCACAGAGATTGTAGGTTCGTCATGTTAAAGATGGCAGCTGGAATGGTTCCCGTCAGTTGGTTGCTGTCGAGGATGCTGCAGAAGTAAGGCAAGGGCAGGGCGCATGAGGTACGGCAAGGGCAGAGCGCATGAGGTATGGCAAGGGCAGAGCGCATGAGGTATGGCAAGGGCAGAGCGCATGAGGTATTGCAAGGGCAGAGCGCATGAGGTACGGCAAGGGCAGAGCGCATGAGGTATGGCAAGGGCAGAGCGCATGAGGTATTGCAAGGGCAGAGCGCATGAGGTACGGCAAGGGCAGAGCGCATGAGGTACGGCAAGGGCAGAGCGCATGAGGTATGGCAAGGGCAGAGCGCATGAGGTACGGCAAGGGCAGAGCGCATGAGGTATGGCAAGGGCAGAGCGCATGAGGTATTGCAAGGGCAGAGCGCATGAGGTACGGCAAGGGCAGAGCGCATGAGGTATGGCAAGGGCAGAGCGCATGAGGTATGGCAAGGGCAGAGCGCATGAGGCACCAGGTGCTGCTAGGTGCTACTCTATGCCAGCTCTGTCCTTGATCTGCTCTGGGTGAGAAGAAGACACTTCACTCGGCAGAGGCGGGTGAGGCATGTGGTGCAGGGCATGTGGTGCGTGGCATGTGGTGAGGGCGCAACAGCAGTTGAGGCTCACATGGCCTGCAGAGTGGAGAGCGTGGAGATGGAGTCAGGAATGGGCCCTGTGAAGTTGTTGTTGCTCAGCGCCCTGCATGAGGAGCAGCACTCAGTCACGGAGCATGGCACCCACAAGCCCAAGCAATGTGATAGAGGCAAGGCAAGACACATGCCAGTGATCAGAAAGTTGCCACCAGGGAGGAAAGCAAAATTGCCAGGAATGTTTGAGGGGATTGAGACAGGAAGAAGAAAGAGTTGGCAGGGGAAGGGGTGTTGGAGGGGTAGATAGGGAGAGGAAGAAGCTTACAGCGTTTCAAAGTTGCCCTTCCAGAGCGAGAAGTCTGGCAGGGAGCCTGTGAAGCCGTTTCCTGCAAGGCTACTGCACACGGGGCAACGGAAGGTAGGCAGACTCCACTCCAGGGATGATCCGCACGGAGAGCAAGATGACAGTGGCAGCACAGCGAGTGGTGGCAGCACAGCGAGTGGTGGCAGCACAGCCAGTGGTGGCAGCACAGCCAGTGGTGGCAGCACAGCCAGTGGTGGCAGCACAGCCAGTGGTGGCAGCACAGCCAGTGGTGGCGCTGCTTACAGCGTGGCAAGTGTGGAGGAGGCTCTAAGCTTCACTGGAAGGTTCCCGGAAAGAAAGTTGTTTGACACTTCCCTACATTGGGCAGAAGGGGGGACAGAGGGAAGTGGTGGTTGTCAGAACTTAGGCTTAGAACTGATGCATTAGTAATGAGCTTGAAGCTCTTTAAGTACATCCAAGATGGGCAAGGGAATGGATGGGAAGGGAATTGCAGGCAATCTCTAGGGTTGGGGGTAATCCCAATGCAATCTCCAATTGGTGGGTTGGAGATTGCTTGGAGATTACATTTGGGTTTGGTTGGGATGTGGGTGTACACCCAACCAAACACAAAGTGCAACCTACACTACACTAGGATATAGAAAATATAAAATACTAAGTGTGAGATTGAGGGCTAACACTAACAGTGGTTGCATGCATGCACTAGAGCCGCTGTCACACTGGAAGCTGATAAGGGGAATGAAAAGGTAAAGAATGATGAGATGCAAGGAGGACCCGAGTAGTAGGCACACAAGTTGGGCCTTTGCAGGCTATTTAACTGGTGTTAGGATCAGGCTTGTGTATTTGGCAGCAGGAGGACGTTTTGAAATGATTGTGTATTTGGCAGCAGGAGGACGTTTTGGAATAACACAACAATTCTGAATCCCAACTAACTTTTTGAGTTAATTTACAAACCTCGCAATAGGCTGTTTCGAAATGCAATCTCTATAATAGCAGGGCCAAGCAAAAGCGCCATGGAGTTACTCACAGAGTGTTAAGTATGGGGAGGTGGAAGACGCCAGAGGGGATTGATCCATGGAAGTTGTTGTCATTGAGATTGCTGGCCGAGTCACTCAGAAGCGACGACAAATAGAGTGCAGCACTTGAGCCCATGTGGAGACATTCATGCACCATTGGAGTGAACATGCAAGTGAAATATATTAACGCGTGAACAAACAAGCGCTGATATAGGCTAGGCGTGAACAAGGAAGAGGCTTGGCTTTGGAAATCAGTTGACGAAAGAGCATGGAAACCCCGTCCTCAAGAATCGAGTGGCATACAGTTTATCAAGTAAGACCAGGTCGATGGGACAAGTGATATCCTTGGGGCACCACGCACATGGTTACCAGCTCCAGTAGCTCGGTCAATTGCAGGGGAATGGATCCGGAGAAGCTGTTGTTGCTCAGATCCCTGCCATCTCCATTGCCAGTGAGAAGTTGCGACAGACTCCTTACAGTATGCAACAACTCTACATGAAACTTCCACTGCAACCCACCTTTGTCCACAACCATAAGGGCGTGTCTCACAGATATGAAAGGTGGTGGATGTGCAGAAGAAACTGGGGAAATACTCCCGTGATGTGGTTGTTGGCGATGGTTCTGGTGCATGCCCATGGCACATGTGGTGGGAATAGGACGAGGTGGAGGCAAAAACGCAGAGGCACACAGACTCTCATTTGGGCTTGTGAGGAACACACAAGCCTTCATGCGAGGAAAACAGATATGATTCTCAAATGCATCGCCCACAAACACATGAGGCCCACAACAAGCGTGTGGGTAGGCGAGACACAGTTGTTGCTGCATGGAGGAGGTGAGAGAGTGAGTGATTGAATGGGTGAGTGCGTGAGTGAGAGATAGAGAGAGTGAGTGAGTGAGTGAGTGGTTGAGTGAGTGAGTGCGTGAGGAGTGAGTGAGTGGGTGGGTGAGCGAGTGAGTGAGTAAGTGATTGAGTGGGTGAGTGAGTGAGTGAGGTACGGATGGAGGCACTGACATGAAGTTGAGCCCTGTGATGGCAGAGAGGACTGCTGGAAGCACCCCGGAGAAGCTGTTGGTGTGGAGGCTTCTGCAGGGCACGCATTCGAACGAGGGGCTAAGCTGTTGCCAGTTGCAGGGAGCAAACGACGTGAGGGAGGGAAGGGGGGCCCCAGCTAGGAGAAAAAGGGGGGGCCCAGCAAGGAGAAAAGGGGAGACCCAGAAAGGAGGGGGCAACAATGAGTAAGGTGGGCCGGGGAGGAGGCTAGGCACTCACATGTCAGTGAGCCATGTCATCTGAGCCACCACGTCCAGGCCTGCACTCAGACTGTTGTTGGAAACGTCCCTGTCATGCATGCATGCACGTGGGATGCAGGCACGTGGGATGCATGCACGTGGGATGCATGCACGTGGGATGCAGGCACGTGGGATGCAGGCACGTGGGATGCAGGCACGTGGGATGCAGGCACGTGGGATGCAGGCACGTGGGATGCAGGCACGTGGGATGCAGGCGAGGGGAAAAGGTAAGGCTAGGCAAGAACATTCACTGGAAAAGGGAGAGCAATGATCAGTCAAATTCAAAGCCCATGAAGTGAGGCATACAGCACACTCATGGCGGTGAGGCATACAGCACACTCATGGCGGTGAGGCATACAGCACACTCATGGCGGTGAGCCGGGTGAAGGTGGTGGGAATACCGCCCGTGAACTCATTGCTGGCCAGCTGCCTGCAGGCACGGGTGGGCCGCGCAGCAGGGCACGGGGAGAGAGTTGGGGCAAGGAAACGCAAGGGTACAGGTGTGGACGATGAAACCAGGCAGAGAGATGAGGGCAGAGAGAAAGGGGCCAACTTTATGGGATGCTGGTAATGAGTGCAAGGAAGCACAGCAGGTAGGGGCTGGGCTTACAGGAAAGAAAGTTGCGGCAGTGCAAGGTGAGGCGGAATGGGGCCACTAAAGGCGTTGTAGCCAAGTGATCTGGATGGGAAGGGAAGGAGACCCCTCCAAATGATCAATATGGTGTTTCAAGGCCCGGGAGCTGGAGACTGGCTCCTTGCAATACCGTTCAGCCATGACCTGTGCTTCACCTCTGGGCAGCGACCACTTCCCTGGCCTTCCGGAAGGGACTCCCTTTCAACCTCCCGTCCGTGAAACTGCACGTACAGAAGGAAGAACCCATATTGGACCTCACCCTAGGCTGCAGGGACGGAGCAGACAGGACCACCAAGCACAACAACCTCGTCAATATGCTGCCCCATATTTCCTGAAAAGCAGGGTTTGTTGTTCAAATGCAGCCACCCACGACAACTCACTCACCTGCGAGAGCAAACAAAGGAGCCCCCTTGTTTTTTTTCAATCAGGCCTTCGGCGCGGGTCGCTTACTGAGCGCGCGGTAGGTACGCCAGTGAGTTCCACCAGGGCCCTTGCTATTTGACGATATCCAACCTTGCGTCGCCGCGGCCACAGCAGCTCACCCTGATGCCATCCTACTGGCCTACGCGGATGACATCACCCTTCTAGGAATGGGCCCGCGTTCACTGCGGCGTTCACACACCTCACCACAGCCTTTACTCAGCTGGGCTGGGCCTCCAACACGACCCAGCCAAACGTGCAGCACGGTCAGCCCCTTCCATCAACCCCAGCACACTTCCAGAATGCATCATGGCAAACCCAGCGGCCATACGCATGCTGGGGAGCCCCCAAGTCTTGCCAACAGGCCGCACAACGATGGCAAGGGCACGACTCGCCAACGCAGCGGAACCACTACCACTCCTGGCCCACATGGACCCCCAGCTCTGCCTCCTCCTCCTCTTCAACCGATGCGTCAGTCGGCGAGCTTCATTCCTCGCCCGACCAGCCCCCTGGAGGTACCACCAATGGAGGAGTTGTCCGCTTAGGGAGGAGGCCTTCTCTGCACGTTCCTGGACTCTTGGGGTACTGGGCCTTACTGCCTACCTTGACCATAATCTACACCGCGTACCTGCTGCAGCCCCTGGACCACACCCTCCATTGATCAGTTACGCAGCTGCTCTGCCTTACGGACTCAGATCCTACCTCCAGCACGGCTCTCCCTTCGTGCCTAGCGGGCGCGACGCTACGTCCAGCGGAGGCACCAGCCCTAAAACCAAAACGCCAGGAACCCAACGGCTTAGAGCTGCAACAGGCGCTCCCACTGGTGGTTAATCGGCCTGCTACATCCGACAGCCGAATGACACGTGCGGCATGCTGCGCAACCCCCTGCTTGACCACACCCAGAAGTTGCGGTTGCTGCTCGGGGCCGGGGCTGGGGATTGGCGGGTGGCAGTACACGACTGGCACGACTGGCTTAGAGAGTGCATGAATGACTGGCACAAAATCAGCAACTCAACCCTGCGTGAATCGCCTACTGAGTGCAAGAGCTCTCTCTCAGATGAGGGTTTACAGAGGAAGAAGAGGATACAGGGAATTGTGGGGTGGGAGGTGGAGCTTGAGTTGAGGAAAGGAATGTGAGACGTACATGCTTTGGATGTTGGTGGTGAAGGCACGCGGGATGGAACCAGACAGATAATTCCATGAGAGGTCTCTGCAACGGAAGGGGGGGAGAAAGAGCAGCGCTGGAGTCCATGACCAAGGGGGCGGGACAGAGCGAGCAACGAAATGGTGAGAGAGCGAGGGTTGGGAGGGGCAAGCGGCGTGGATGCTGGGAACTTACATTGCAGTGAGGGCTGTTAGGGCAGAGAGGGTGGCGGGGATGGTGCCTTGAAGATGGTTGTAATTTAAAGCCCTGAAACAAGATGAAGGCGGAGCTGTAAGTTGCATATGCAGGTACGTACTGGGGTTCAGAAGATATGCATTCACTGGGTTTCAGCTTAACGGATTGGAAACAGCACCTAAGAAGGATGACCGAATGGGATGGGGACATGGCAGCATGACAGTATGGGAACATGGCAGCATGACAGTATGGGAACATGGCAGCATGACAGTATGGGAAGCAGCATGACATTATGGGAACATGGCAGCATGCCAGCATGGAATCATGGCAGGATGAACACGGGGGGTCATGGCAGTGGCTCACAGGTATTGCAGGTTCAGGAAAGATGAGAAGCTCTTAGGCACGTATCCCTCCAGGTTGTTTCCAAAGAGAGATCTGCAGTGCGTGCCACCAGGCACGAGACGCACGGCACGAGGATTACACAAGGAGGGACTTGCGCAGGTTCACAGCACACCCACCCTCCTGCCTGCCTGGTGGCCTCTCCTACTGCAGCTGCTGCAGCAGCTGCTGCGATGAGCCTAGCCATTCCCACACTCGTACAACGAAATGCTTGGGCCTCTGCGTCATGTCTGGTGATGTGACTGAAGGTTGCGAATTTTGCACGCTGCACTCACAGGCTGGTGAGTGCGGTGAGGTGCGAGATGTCATCAGACAACAGCCCCTGCCGCCGCGGCTCATCCCCGTTCACGTTGCTGCATGGGCAGGGGGACAAGGGCAGGGGGACAATGGCAAGGGGACAAGAGAACAGGAACAGCGGCGGTCGGGGGGACAAGGGCAGGGAGTCTAGGGATTTGGGACAAGGGCATGCTTGCGAGACTTCCCACACTTAAACAAGGAGAGACCATGCCCGTGGCATGCTTGTTCCAGCCGTTGCGCCGTGTGTGCAGCAGCAAGGGCGGTAGGTGTGCGGCAATGGCAATGGCTCACAGATACTGAAGGTTGTAGAGGTGAGTCACCCAGGCAGGGAACTCCAAGGCCCGCAGGAACGACAAATCACTGCAGGGGAGAATGCAGTGGGATGGCAAGGGGACGGCACAGGGATAAAGTCATGGTAGAGGGCTGGGCTCGTGCCAAATGGGCGGTCAGTGAAAACCCGCTCGTGCACGTGAAGAAGTGTGTTTCATTCGAACTACTCTTGGACCCGTGTGCAGCTCAGCTTACAGTGCAGTGAGGGCTGTGAGGTATCGGATCTCCCTGGGTATCTCCCCCGTGGCATTGGTGAGCGAACTGAGTGTCCTGCACACATGCACATGCACACACATGGAGAAGAGTCAACACCACCAAGGCACAATGAGAGTCAACAATACCAAGGCACAATGAGAGTCAAAAATACCAAGGCACAATGAGAGTCAACAATACCAAGGCACAATGAGAGTCAAAAAGACCAAGGCACAATGAGAGTCAACAATACCAAGGCACAATGAGAGTCAAAAATACCAAGGCACAATGAGAGTCAAAACTACCAAGGCACAATGAGAGTCAACAATACCAAGGCACAATGAGAGTCAAAAATACCAAGGCACAATGAGAGTCAAAAATACCAAGGCACAATGAGAGTCAACAATACCAAGGCACAATGAGAGTCAAAAATACCAAGGCACAATGAGAGTCAACAATACCAAGGCACAATGAGAGTCAAGAATACCAAGGCACAATGAGAGTCAACAATACCAAGGCACAATGAGAGTCAACAATACCAAGGCACAATGAGATTCAACAATACCAAGGCACAATGAGAGTCAACACTGTTACCAAGGCACAATGAGAGTAAACAATACCAAGGCACAATGAGAGTCAACACTGCTACCAAGGCACAATGAGAGTGAACACCACCAAGGCACAATGAGAGTCAAAACTGCTACCAAGGCACAATGAGAGCCAACACTACCAAAGCACAATGAGAGTCAACCCTACTACCAAGGCTATAAGAGGCGACCAGAAAGTCAGTTCACACATTGACTGATCTGAACTACACGAGTTGACGCATCAAGGCAGCACTGGCTCCCAGTGCACCGGAATCGAGCTTACAGGCTTTGAAGTTTCTCCAGACGAGAGAGAATGTGCAGAGAGGACAAGCTCCCCGTGAATTCCACCAAACCAAGTATATGCCTGGTGGGTGGTGGTGGAAGGGTTGTGGGACGTACGAGAAGCTTTGGGGCGGGTGGAGGGTGGGGCACACAACATGGGTCTTGTACACAAGTTGCTGGAGAAATGTGCGTGGCGTGCAGCAATGAGGGCAGCATGGCATATAGGCGAATTGGGAGTGCCAACTGCATGCCGAGTGGCTCAGTTATCGGGGCGTGTGAACTGAGAGGAGGGCGTGGCAGTGTGCAGAGCATACAGCGTTTGCAGGTTGGAGAGGGAGGAGAGCCAGGCCAGTTCCTCGTAGGTGCCAGTCAGCTGGCTGCCGTCTGCTCCCATGGCTCTGAGGACATGCCGCACATGCAGTCAGCCATGCCGCACATGCAGTCAGCCATGCCGCACATGCAGTCAGCCATGCCGCACATGCAGTCAGCCATGCCGCACATGCAGTCAGCCATGCCGCACATGCAGTCAGCCATGCCACACATGCAGTCAGCCATGCCGCACATGCAGTCAGCCATGCCGCACATGCAGTCAGCCATGCCGCACATGCAGTCAGCCATGCCACACATGCAGTCAGCCATGCCGCACATGCAGTCAGCCATGCCGCACATGCAGTCAGCCATGCCGCACATGCAGTCAGCCATGCCGCACATGCAGTCAGCCATGCCGCACATGCAGTCAGCCATGCCGCACATGCAGTCAGCCATGCCGCACATGCAGTCAGCCATGCCACACATGCAGTCAGCCATGCCGCACATGCAGTCAGCCATGCCGCACATGCAGTCAGCCATGCCGCACATGCAGTCAGCCATGCCACACATGCAGTCAGCCATGCCACACATGCAGTCAGCCATGCCACACATGCAGTCAGCCATGCCACACATGCAGTCAGCCATGCCACACATGCAGCCAGCCATGCCACACTTGCAGTCAGCCATGCCACAAATGCAGTCAGCCATGCCACACATGCAGTCAGCCGTGCCACACATGCAGTCAGCCATGCCACACATGCAGTCAGCCATGCCACACATGCAGTCAGCCATGCCACACATGCAGCCAGCCATGCCACACTTGCAGTCAGCCATGCCACACATGCAGTCAGCCATGCCGCACATGCAGTCAGCCGTGCCACACATGCAGTCAGCCGTGCCACACATGCAGTCAGCCATGCCACACATGCAGTCAGCCATGCCACACATGCAGTCAGCCGTGCCGCACATGCAGTCAGCCATGCCACACATGCAGTCAGCCGTGCCACACATGCAGCCAGCCGTGCCACACTTGCAGTCAGCCATGCCACACATGCAGTCAGCCATGCCACACATGCAGTCAGCCGTGCCACACATGCAGCCAGCCATGCCACACATGCAGTCAGCCATGCCACACATGCAGTCAGCAATGCCACACATGCAGTCAGCCGTGCCATACATGCAGGTCAGTGGTAGAACGAACATAACTGTGAGAAAGGAGCAAGCGATGGCGATAACTTTTTTTTGGCTGTAGAGGAGAGAAGGAGCGCAGTGCATTGTATTGCCAGCGGCGGAGGCGGGGCACGTACAGGAGAGTGAGCCTGGAGAGACTTGCAAGAGATGGGACGGGCCCCATCAGCTTGTCGTTTGTCAGATCTCTATGGACGTGGGAGGCAGGAAGCAAGAGTGAAGGAAGGAGAGAGGCGGAATGAGGTGTGCAGTGCGATTCCTCAGTGCAGACCACATCCAAGCTGCTGCACCAACCGCTGCAGAGCGTGCAAAGGCAGCGAGCAGGGGGGGTTGAGTGTGGTTTATCAAACAAGTGGGAGGCAAGATGGGGGGATCGTGGACGATTAAGCACAGCTGCCAATGGCAAGAACAGGAGGGACTGTGATGGATGGCGAAAGAGTAATGGCAAAGTGCATGCGATGCAGAGTGGATGGAGTGGCGGGGAGGGTGGGTGGGGACGGACAGGTACTGCAGAGCAGCGAGGTTGGTGATGGAGGCAGGTATGGCGGCGCTGCCATCCACCGCCACGGCCTTTGAATCCCTGCCACCCACCACACACAGGCAACCACACCATGCTCCCATCCCTCCCCATCCCTTCAAACCACCCCTTTACACATCCCCTCCCACCACCCCGCCTCCACCACTTTTCCCAACGCCCCCTCTTCCATGCCCCTATCCCATCCCACTCAATCTCTTCCTCCCAATTCTCGCCCCCATTTCTCACCACCGCTCACACAAGTCCAGCCCATTCACAACAGAAACAGGTGATGCACAGCAATGAATGCATGTGTTGCGGAGGATTCTAGACTCCGGGAGAGCTGAGGCGTGTGAATCACGTGACTGGAGTGAAGCGCACGTGTTAGAGAAATGCAACCCAAGTGGGTGTGTTTGTGGTGTCAGGCCAGGTGCACGTGTCGAAATCTCCCCTATGAAAATCTCCGCACTCCTCGACAGGGGCGGTTCCTTGGCATACGATGCCACCAATGCACACTTCCGAGCCTCCTGTGCGAACATCCCTGCCACTGCGCGAAACATTCCCTGGCACATTCATGTCTGGGAGAACATTTTCTCCATGTGCACGCGAACGTTCTCTCACTATTGTTTGCGGGAAACTCAGCCTCTGCTGCGCCTCAAATATAACCTTTGACTCAGTGGGTAGCTAAGCATTAGAATGAGGGTGGTCACGTGGGGCAATGGTGGGAGCAATGGGGACAATGGAGGCAATGGCACTCACAATGCGATGACCAGTCCGTTAGGGCTGCATGTCACGCCAGGCCACGCAGAGCAAGCAGTGGTGCCCTTGCTGTTGCCCGCCCACGCGCCCCACGCCGCCTGCACCTGCACAATCTCGCTCACTACGCATGTGCAATGAGCGCCCGACAGAATGAGGGGAGGGTTGATGAACGTCGTAACCCTATACGGTATATTGTTACATTCAATCTACTCTATAGCTCTGTAGCTACAATGGCAAGACCTATATGTACATAGTATGAGGGCCAACAGTTTTGGGACGCAGGCACAGGCGGCTCAGGCACCAATCGCAGGCTCAGGCACAGCGCTCATGCACAGTCTGCAGCTCAGGCAATGTTATCTGCGCGCGTTACAACAGTCCAATTCAGCGAGCTCACGTTGCGACGCCTCCAAAGCCACGGGCCTTGCGGACGCGGACGCGGCCGCGGTGGCGGCGGCATCAAGCTTGAGGAGTTGCGAGCGCTGGGCGCGGATGGGCCGAGCAACGGCAGGAGACAGCACGCGCTGGTTAGGCCGATGGGGGGCTTCTCGCCGCGGCAGTGGGTGATTGGCGGAAGAGAAGGAGCAATCTGCGGCGGTGGAAAGCGCAAGGGCCGCGCAAATGAGAAGCTGAGCTGCTGTATCGGTACGCTTTGACCACTGAGGCGCAACGCGGCTGCGCGTGGGAGAGGAACGAGTTTTATGTATGGCAGACATTGGAACTCGTTTAATGTACGGTGGACTAGTAGTAGGTTCCTCCTACTTCTAGACATCTGCTAACTGCGTCTGTGTGGCAAGAATTCAGGTGTTAGCTACTTTACCCAAAATTGGAGGTCAAGAAAGTAACTTCAATGTTTTGTGGAGTTACTTTCCCCAGGCAATTGGCTCACCCCCAGACCCGACAGGTGTCAGCTGAGAAGTTCGGGTCAGATCGCGACAGGTCTGTGTCCTGGTTTTCAGGTTTGGCGCCGGCCAGAGTGAGCGCGTTTCATCGCGCGCCTCGGCTATCCTGACATGACGGTCCGCGGTGTCAATGGCGACGTTACAAGACTGAGAACTCTCGCAAACTTCGCCGGCGGCAAAAACAAAAGCAGAGGGATTTGAATACTCGATTGAAGATAGGGTTCTGTCAGCTGACTGTAACACACAACATGTTTTCAAGAAGCAACTGAGAATATGGAGAAAATCCATCAAATGGTTTTTTAAGAAACATGTGTTGCTAAACATTGGAGCAAAGCCAACACAAACAACCTTCTTCACCGACTTCGACGTCTGCCGCTCCACCTCCTTCAGCCATTTTTCGAAGACGACCAGCACGTCGCTTTTCTTCGTGATCGGCCTCACCCACACATAGCGAGTCTTCCTATCCTTCAGCAGAAGAAAGTAGAGGCTACCGTCGTTGGCGGCCACCCGAAATGGCCCGCAGAGGTCGATGTGCACCACATCGAGCGCATTTTCGGCCTCCGATCCTTGGTCGGGGAAGGTGTGCCGTAAGTTTGCCGCCGACGCAGGAGGCACATGGCAGATCAGCTGCGGTTGACTTCTTGATGTCCAGACCAGCGGCGACCTCGTGTTTCGCCGAGCTCTTGATCGTGTCGACGCCGACGTGCGCAAGCCGTGCGTGCATCATGTCCGGGGTCAACTTCGTCACCGACGCGATAGTCCGCAGAGCTACTACCTTCGTCGAAGTCATCGTCGACTTTGTCGAGCAGGGGCGCAGGTCGGTGCAAAGAATTTTGCCGGGGTAGCATGCTCGACCAAGGACATCGCCGGCAGAAGACACTAGCAGCATCTCTCCGCCGTCGTCCTGCAGCTTCACGCCGTTCTCCTTGAGTTGGCTTTCAGACAGCAGGTTCGCGTGCACACCCGGAACGTAGAGTACGTCGGGGACGAGGACCTGCTTCCCGGCCTCCCCTTGCAAAGCAACGGTGCCTCTGCCTTCGACGCTCTGAAGTGCCCCGTTGAAGCCGCGGACGTGGCGAACGTCGCCGCTCGGCTGCATGTCAACAAAGGCCTCCTTCGTCCCCATCAGATGGTGGGAGCAGCCGCTGTCGAGCAGCACAACAGTCGGATTGGCCTGCACAGCAGCAGCGACCGCCTTGAAGTCTTCGCCAGCCTCCAGCGCTAGTGAGATCGTCGGCACCACCACGCTGACCATCGAGCACGAAGCCTCCTCGCCACGAGCATTGCCGCCAGAGGAGTCAGCATCCTTCGGCGAAGTCGTCTTCGACGGCTGCTTCTCCTTGCGTGGCCGGTTGCCCCGATGACGACGGCCACCTTCTCCCTTTCTGCGGTTGGCGTCCCGGTCGTCGTCAGACTCGTCTCGGTCGGGGCAGTCGTACGAGAGGTGGTCGGGAGCATCGCAGATGTAGCAACGGCGGCCTTCTCGACGCGAGCCACGGCTGCCGCGATCTCCACCTTTCGCCGACTTCCCGCGGTCGGCGCCCTCCGTCAATTTTGCGTTCGACGACTTCCCACCACCGCCTCCAGCAGACTTCCCACGTTGCCCCTGTTGGCGTCCCTGCTTCGCCGGGGCAACATAGTTGGCATGCGGAAGCAATTCCGCAGGTCGCTCAGACTCCTGCAGGAACTCGTCCTGGATGATATGGCTCGAAAGCGAGTCCTCGATCAGAGTCTCGCGCGTGCCGGGAATTGTCAGCATCCGGCGCATCAGATTGTAGCCTGAGGGGAGACTGCTGATGACATGGGTGACGTACGACGCCACCGAGTAGTCGACGCCGGCCATCCGCAGATCGGCCAAGACTCGCCGCGCTCGATTGCAGTACTCGGTCGCAGATTCTTGCTCCCCCATCCGAATGTTGGTCAACATCTTCTCCAATTGACGGATGTAGAGGTCGTCGGTCGCTTTGTAGGTGCGCATGATGTACTGCCACGCTTGGTAGCCAGCATCCACCCGTTGTCTGCACGACTTCAATGCGACCTGCACCAGAGGTGAGCAACACCTCGAAATAACCATGAAGGTCAGCAGATGAGCAGCGCGGAATTCCGTCCAGAGTTCAGAGTCGTCTGCGTCCGGCGTCGCAACATTTCCGTCGACGAACTTCTTTAATCCGGCGATCTCCAGCTGTGGCTCAATGGATTCAATCCACGTGATCAAGTCGTGTCGACCTTCGAGCGGCTTCGGCACAGCGATCTTGTCCGGCGAGAATTTAAAATATCTGTATGCCGGCGCGATGCCTCCGTCTCGACCACCCGACGCATGAGTCGCCGAAGTCGGCCTGACTCCACTCCGCAGATGAGATAAACGTCGACCATCGATGTTGCCATTCGAGCTGCCTCCAGTCGCAACACTTGCGCCTGCATTCCGCCAACGCTGCCGTCGGCGGGCAAAATCACTCCGCGAACCCTCGTGCTTCCACCGCCGACAACATTTCCGTCATCGCCTTCGTTGTGCACGGGTCGGGGAGAGGCGGACGCGTCATCCGCTTCTGCACGGGGAGGGGGGTGCTCACGCGCCCACTGCGCACGAGTTCCAAGGAGCAGAATCTCCAAGTCCGCCTTGCCGTACCCGCCAGCCTCGTGGCGTGCTCGAACACCAGCCTCTCTCGCCTGCAGGGTATCTTCTACGCCTGCTTCTGTCAGAATCACTAGGAGTAGGGCCTAGGCTTATTAGCCGAGGCCACAGTGAGACTAGAAGGTTGTGCCAAGCAGGAGAGAGAATGAGATGGATTGACTATGGAAGAGAAGGTACAAGTAGAAGAGAACCAGAAAAGAGTGGTGCACCACCACACAGAACACTAGGTAACTACTCTACAGCTAGAACTACATGCACTTATACAGACATATATATAAGATATATTCTGACACACCCCCTAAGTGCATGCAAGAATAGCCGATGAGCAGAACACCCCTGTAGTGGTACACCCTGTAGGGCGCAGCAAAAGTAGAGGCGAAGTGAGGAGGAGGAGAAGGAACAGTGAGAAGAGTGGAGATAGAAGGCGACGGGTGAAGCCGCAGTCGCACGGGCAACAGGAGCGGCGCGCACAGTGGCTACCGAGCGCACGAGGGCACCGGACTACGGGAGTATCTGACTTCGCGGCTACGACGAGCGGCAGGAGCAACGGACCCACAGGCGACTGGCGAAGCAGGCTCGCTGGGCTACCGAGAGCACGAGGGCTCCGGACTACTGGTGCTGCTGACAACACGACGCCGACCTCCACTCAACCTCCCCTAACTGTCCCACACCCCCTTTTCACACACCCACTGCTGCACCCCTAGCTCCACTACCACGGCACCCCCCTAGCGCAACTCCCCTCGGCTCCCACACATCCACCCCCCTCAGCGGCAGCTGCAGCAGTGGGAGACAGAGGAGGAGAAGGAAGGGACGACGCACACGTATCACCCCCACACCCGCCACCCCACGGCTGTACGGGCTGCAGAAAGCGGCGCGCGGGTAGGCAGAAAGCGGCGCGCGGGTAGGCAGAATGAGGCGCGCGGGTAGGCAGAAAACGGTGCGCGGGTAGGCAGAATGCGGCGTGCGGGTAGGCAGAAAACGGTGCACGGGCTGCAGAAAGCGGCGCGCGGGTAGGCAGAAAGCGACGCGCGAGTAGACAGAAAGTGGCGCGCGGGCTGCAGAAAGCGGCGTGCGGGTAGACAGAAAGCGGCGCGCAGGCTGCAGAAAGCGGCGCACGGGTAGGCAGAAAGCGACGCGCGAGTAGACAGAAAGCGGCGCGCGGGCTGCTGAAAGCGGCGCGCGTGTAGAGCAGAGCGCACGAGAGCGCGGGCAGCAGCAGAGCGCACGAGGGCGCGGGCAGAGCAGAGCGCACGAGGGCGCGGGTGAGACAGAGCGCACGAGGGCGCGGGCAGAGCAGAGCGCACAAGGACGCGGGCAGCAGCAGAGCGCACGAGGGCGCAGGCAGAGCAGAGCGCACGAGGGCGCGGGTGAGACAGAGCGCACGAGGGCGCGGGCAGAGCAGAGCGCACGAGGGCGCGGGCAGCAGCAGAGCGCACGAGGGCGCGGGCAGAGCAGAGCGCACGAAGGCGCGGGTGAGACAGAGCGCACGAGGGCGCGGGCAGAGCAGAGCGCACGTGGGCGCGGGTGAGACAGAGCGGCTGCACAGGATCCAGGAGCGGCGTCGCGGGCAGCTGCAGGGTCGGCTGCTGC